CCCATTTCACAGATGAGGACTCCAAACACAGAAAGGTTAAATAACTTGACCAAAGACACATGCTAATAAGTGACAGATTTTTTTAAATTCTTCTTTAAAAATTTTATATATTTATCTTTGGCTGCGTTGGGTCTTTGTTGCTGCACGCGGGATTTCTCTAGTTGTGGTGAGCGGGGGCTACTCTTCATTGCGGTGTGTAGGCTTCTCATTGTGGTGGCTTCTCTTGTTGTGGAGTATGGGCTCTAGGTGCATGGGCTTCAGTAGTCGTGGCACTCGGGCTCAGTAGTTGTGGCTCGTGGGCTCCAGAGCACAGGCTCAGTAGTTGTGGCGCACAGGCTTAGTTGCTCCACGGCATGTGGGATCTTCCCGGACCAGAGCTCAAACCCGTGTCCCCTGCATTGGCAGGCGGATTCTTAACCACTGCGCCACCAGGGAAGCCCCAAGTGTCAGATTTAGGACTTGAATCCAGACAGTCTTGACCAGAGTTCAGCAAATTTTTCTCTAGAGGGCCAGGTACTAAATATCTTAGGTTTTGCAAACTCTGCGGTTTCTGTCACAAATATTCATTGTTGTCATTGTAGTACAGAAGCATTCATAGGCTGTGTTAACAAATGGGTAAGGCTGTGTTCCAATAAAACAAACAGTGGGCCCATCTTAGCCCACGGGCCAAAGTTTGTCCACCTGTGGTCTTAACTGCTACGTCAAGAGAATGAGGGGCCAGAAACATCAAAACCCTGAGAAATAAAATCGTAATTGTGAACAAAATGTTAGACAAGTCTCTGGCCTTTTCTACATGACACAGCATGTAATCCATTCGATGTCATTGCAACATTATTAATTGAAGGCTTACTGTATACTAGGCACCACCTTAAGTGCCTAGAATATACCAATGAACAAAGAGAAAACACCTGCATTTGAATGAGCTTATCTTCCAGCAGGATTGGCAGGGGAGCTGATAAATAATACACATAATACGCAGCTGAATTATTCAGTGTGCTTGCGAATGGTGAGTGCTTTGCAAAGAAATGGAGCGTGGAAAGGGGAATGTGGGAACAGGAGAGAGCAACATAGTGTGGTGAATGTAGGTCTCAGTGAGAAGGTGACAGTTCAGCAAAGCCTTTAAGGAGTAAGGGAGTGAGCCACGCTGATATCTTGGAGAAGAGCTTTCCAGGCTGAGAGAACAGCCAGTGCAAAGGCCCCGAGGCAAGAGCATGCCTCACTTGTTCATGAAAGAGCAAGAGTTTCATGTGGCTTGAGGTGGTGAAAGGATGAGATCAGCAGTTAGTGAGAGCCTGATCTGGAAGTATGGTGAAGACTTGCCTTTTACTCCCAGAGACATGGGGAGCAGGGGGCTGACGGGATTGGACTCAAATTGTGAAACCATCACTCTCACTCGTGCGTCGTGTCTTGGGGTCAATAGCTTTGGACTCGGGTTTCCTGGGTTTGGTTCTGACTCTAATACAAATTGCAGGTCCAATATCAGGCAACAGTTAATCTTTCTATGCTTGGTTTCCACATCCATGAATGAGACATAATAATGCTATTTACCACACAGGGCAGTTCTGAGCACAAAATGAGAAAATTCAGGTCAATCATTAAACATTGTTCTGGGGACATAATGAAGACCAAATGAATACTGTTTATTTTAATTATTGTTAAATTTATCTTCTTAATAAAAAACTACCATTTTACTATAATAAATTTTTGTGAATGTGTGCTTACATACTGATACAGATGTGTACACGTGTTGTTTGAATCCTCATCTCTCTGTCAAGGGCAGGAGCCACACCTACCTCCAGGGCACTGCTGCTCAAGGGTGGTGAGAAGTCACCTGGGGTAACATTACCCCTCTGCAGGATGGGACAGCGTCTGGGCACCTCCATGGTCATATAAAATCTGTGAAGTATTGAGCTGTTTCCTAAGAAGGGAGGATACTCACTGAAGACTGGAGAATGAAAAAACAACAGGAACAACAGAAACAGAAACCGCCAGTCGTGATGACAAGGTGTATCAGTTACCCACTGCTGTGTAAGAAATGATCCCCAAACGTAGCGGCTTAAAACAACAAACATTCATCATTTCATATAGATTCTCAGAATCGGGAATCTGAAAAGTGGTGTTAGCTGGGTGGCCTGACTCAGGGTTTCTCATGAAGTTGCAGTCATGAGGTCAGACAGGATTGCATCATCTGATGGCTCTAATGGGGCTGGTAGGTTTGCAAGTGAGCTGTTGGCAAGAGGTCTGAGTTCCTCACCACGTGGGCCTCTCTGCAGGCTGCTTGTGACACGGTAGCTGGCTTCTTCCAGGTGAGTGGTTCAAGAAAGGTCCAGGGGGAAGCTGCAATGCCTTCTACCATCTAGCCTCAGAAGTGGCATGCTACCACTTCCACCACATAGTATATTCTTTAGAAACAAGTCACTAAGTCCAGCCGCGCTCAAAGGAAGGAGAATGAAGCTCCACCTCTTAAAGGGTGGAGTATCAAAGAATCTGTGAACATATTTTAAAGCCACCACACATGGTGTGTGAGTCTGGGGCAAAATAACGTTGTTTTAGCTAACGCCAGTTTAATTTTCAAAAAACCCAAAACATGACTCTCATACAAACATGTGTCAAAGATTTATCTTTATTAATAAATGAAGGAACTGGCAGGATGATAAAGCTAATTCAAAAGATAAGTTAAGGAACAGAGGCTTATATGATCAGTCAGGAAAGAAATTGTGGAATAGATTGGCTTAGATAAAAAAAAAATGCTTAATGAATTGCAAGGCAATCCAACTGTACACTTTGGGGTTATCTTTTCTATCAAGCAGGAATCATTTGAAATTTATCAATCTTCTCTTAGTTCACATCTAACTTCACAGAGTTTGATAGCTAATCCATGGTAATTAATAAGTCAAACAAAGACAGATGTTCCCCAGGGACTTGAGCAATTGTTGGTGGGACTGTTTGAGGATGCTCCAGTATGACACTGAGAGCACATGATGTCATCATTGTGTTTTATTTTCAAGTTTGGAGAACTTTTCTTAACAGGGGTTTGTTTTATTTTTCTTACTTTCATCTTCCTGGCTCATCCATTTGTTGTCCCGTCCATCCACTCTGTATCCATCCCCTGTTATGCACATGGTGGAGTAGACCGAGCTGGCGGAGACATCCCCCTGAATCCTCGGCATCCCGGGGGTGGGCAGCCACATACTGGCTTCATTCTTTATTAGCAGAATGAGGAAAGCGCTTGACGAAGCACCACGGCAGTGTCCTGGGGTGCAATTCACTGCGGTCAGGAAATCAGAGAGGGCAACCAGGGCAGATGACATTTTACCTTTTTAGGGGAAACAAAATCTCCTTCTCTATTATCACTTTGTAAATGAAAGCCTGTTTGCTTAAAGCCACTTTGCCTAATGGCCAACTCCTTCTGGAGTTTCTTTTTTCTTTTGTTCTTTTTTGCAAGTATTTGCACAAATAGTGTTATTTCTGTTTGGTCAGTTTATGGCCAATTCAACAATTTTGCAGAAGCCTCTACATCTTCTGAAAGGTGTTTATCACATTAGTGGCATTATGAGTGTTGAGTTATTTTTCTATCCTTTGAACAACTTGATATTTTATTTATTTTTGAACAACTTTAAGGACATTTTATCCCATGAGCCTGAACACAGTTTCTTTAACAGGTATGCCTTAGGGCTTCCCTGGTGGCGCAGTGGTTGAGAGTCCGCCTGCCGATGCAGGGGACACGGGTTCGAGCCCCGGTCTGGGAAGATCCCACATGCCGCGGAGCGGCTGGGCCCGTGAGCCATGTCCGCTGAGCCTGCGCATCCGGAGCCTGTGCTCCGCAACGGGAGAGGCCACAGCGGTGAAAAAAAAAAAGGTATGCCTTGGCAATAAATGGTTATCCGTGGTGCTCAAGACAAAATTAAATTGTCATTATGCACTGACCCTTACCTTTCATTTTAGATCCATCACAGAGAGTGTGTGGATGGATTAAAACCACACGCATTGTTACACAGTCACGTGTTATCCAGTTAGGTACTGAAGAAAGATCAATCATAATTGGCCCAAGCTAGGTTTCATTTCCAAGGGATATAATCAGACACTCGAGCAAAGATGTTTGTCACAGCATGATTTTCAATGACACATAATAACAATAAGGACTAGTAATAAGAGATCGCCATAAATAAATGATGTTGCATTTGTAGAATGAAATACTCTATGGCTATTCAATATTCTGATATCATTATACTGGGTATGGAAAGAGATTCTGCTATCTTGCTACATGAAAAAGCGTGCTGGAATGAGTGTAGGTTCTGGGATGCAGTCGTGTGTAAAGCTGTGATGGGTGCAGGCGTGTATGTGCAGAGGAAAAACTGTTGTCCTTGGTTCACTTATGATGCACACACTGGAGATAAGTATCCATGTGTTTTGTTTTGTTTTGTCAATACAGATTCTCAGGTTATTCTACAATGAACACATAGACTTAACATCCCTTAAGCAGGAGAGCTCCACCTCCAGCATTTCCCGTGGTCCCGGCAAAGGCAGAAAGGAGGGAAAGAAGGAAGGAAGGAAGAGAGGGAGGGAGAAAAGAAGGAAGGAAAGAGGGAAAGGAAGGAGGGAGGGAACAAAAGAGGGAGAGAAGGAAGGAGCGGAGGGAGGAAGGAGGAAAGGGGGCTGTTCTAAAATCTGCTTTCCTTGAGCTCTTCTCTGCACGATACCCTTGGGTCTGGAAGGGCCACATGTCCGGGATCTGAGTGCTCACTGAGGGCTGCAAAGCCCCTGGAAGTTCTTCAGAATTGCTAGAAGAAGGCTGTCTCCAGCAGCTTCCGTCCCTGAGAGAGATAATGAGCATCAGGTGTTTCTGGAAGCATCAGGTGGTGTGAAATCACTCTGGAAACCCCCCTTCTCCGGAGGCTGAGGCAGTTTCAGGGGCCCCACCCTAGGGCGTCACTCAAAGGGCTGAGGCAACCTCGGAGGAGCGGGCAGACACCTCGGGTCCTGCCAAGACAAAGGAGCAGTCTGAGGTGTCCTCTGGGGAGCTGGGCTTCACCTCTCCTAACCCCAGACCTAGAATCCCCTGATCCTTGGGGGCTGTTCATATGCCGCGGGGCTCAGGGCGCTGCTTACTGGGGCCCCTGCCAGCTCAGCCTCTATCTCCACCTAAGATTTTCTGTTATCTCAAAATAGGAGCATCAACACACAGAAGACCGAGATGGTCCTGAGTGGGGCGCTGTGCTTCCGGTGAGTATCTGAGCCTCTGCTTGGGCCATGTCCTCGGGGGATGGAGTGAATTCTGGGTAGATCCAGAATTGTCCAGCCTTTCCGGGGAGGGCGCTGTGATTGTCCCACAGGTGGGATGGGCAGCTGGGAAGGTGTGAACAGCAACTCCCTGCCCTTAGAGGAGTTCTTCCAGCCTCTTCAGACGGGAGCAGGCCCTCTTCTGGGGCTTCCCTGATGAGAGGAGCTTGTGGCCTCATCCCTCCTAGGGAGTTAGGAGGCCCGGCTTGGAGCCCTGCTGTTACCACCCACTGCAGTGAAGAGATATCAATCCAACCACTACCTCCTTGCTGCCCTCTGGGATAAGACAGCAGCAGTAAAACTCTTCTATCAGTCAGCCTGTCTGTTCATTGGCATGTGCTGAGCCAGGGGCTCTGCAATGAGCTGGACTTTTGCAACAGTGAATGAGAAGAATCTTGCTCTCACTGAACTCGGAGTCTAGTATAGCTTTTCCCAAGGTGCGTTCTGTGGAACCCCAGTCCTACGAGTGGCTCTATACAATGATGCTCCTCGGTCCAGGAAATGTGGGAAGTATGCTTTCTAGGTCCCCTTAAAAGAGGACCATAGCACAACTCAGCATATTAGTCACTTTGAAGTAGAGATTTGTTTAATTGTGTTTAGTCAGCATTGAACCAATTTGTACACATCTGGAGGAACCCCTTTAGAGTACAGCTTTCACCTCACAGGATGTCAGAAAATCAACTGAGATTGTAGGTGTGAATTAAATACGAAAAGCAAAATGAACGAATTTTAAATGTAAAGAAATCCCTCACGTGGTAGGGACTATATGGCCAAGCGCAAGTAAATGCACCAAACAGAAGTAAAGGCGGAAGTCAGTCAAAGCGCATTTTTATCCTGAAGAGGCCTGGGCAGCATCTGTCCCATCTTCTTAGTTTAGCAATGAGGAGACTCAGGCCCAGAGAGGGTGAATAACTTGCCTGTCGTGACTCAGCAGTGATGGCGGCAGAGCCGGGATGAGAACACAGGACTCTGACTCAGTTTAGTTTCTTTTCCAACATGACACCGGGAAGAGTCTGGTTAGCGTAGAAAAGATTGAATAGGATGGGCTCCCCTGGTGGCGCAGTGGTTGAGAGTCCGCCTGCCGATGCAGGGGACATGGGTTTGTGACCCGGTCTGGGAAGATCCCACATGCTGCGGAGCAGCTGGGCCCGTGAGCCATGACCACTGAGCCTGCGCGTCCGGAGCCTGTGCTCTGCAATGGGAGAGGCCACAACGGTGAGAGGCCCGTGTACCGCAAAAAAAACACAAAAAAACAGATTGAATAGGATGAAGACTCAGATGGGAGGCTGTGGCCTTGTCCTGGTGGTAGGCATGAGCCCCCAGGGCTGGGAGAGAAGGTTGTGCCATTACTTCTGGCTCAGTGGGAAGACTGGGTGACGGTGCCTGAGACTGGGGGACTCTCAGAGCCCAGGCAAGCTGGAGCACCCACCACCTGCCCTGAGTGTCATCCTGTCCTGATGCTTTAGAATGAAGGATGCGACACTGAAGGTGCTTTATCTGCATGATAACCAGCTTCAAGCCGGAGCGCTGCAAGCAGGGAAGGTCATTAAAGGTTGGTGGCAAACGAGGACCCTACTTCCCTAGGTTTCTAAATACTCTGAGGGGAGGGGGCCTGAAGAGGGCTTAGAAACATTGGCACAAGCCAACAGACCCTGGGCCTGACACAGTAGACGGGGCGTTAGAAGACCAGGCTCTGAGCAAGGACAAATAAAATAGCGCACCTTCCGGCATGGCGCCATGCCCCGGTCCCACTGGAAGCGTCTACGCAAAGGTGGGATTATTTTCCAAGATAGCTGTTTCGTCATTTCCTCACAGGTGGACTTGGGCCCAACAGCCCTTTTTCCGGGAGCCAGCACTGAGGAGGGCATTAAGCAGGCTCTCTACACCCTCACTGCCACGTGGGAGTGGGTTTCTGCCCCTTTGCCCCTGGTCCTCTCGGTGCTCTGAGGGTCCTTGGTCACTCAGGGCGGTGGGACCTAGAGCAGCAGGTGACGCTATCCGGCCTCGTGCTCATTCCCACAGCCCCACACAGTGTGACAGGACCTTCTCTCTAGAGTGGCACATACCTACTCGCCTAGAACAGCCTTACTGGGCACTGGGGCCAGGCAGAGCCCTCTGTGAGGCTGAGTGTGTGTGTGTGTGTGTGTGTGTGTGTGTGAGATGGAGGGATTTTACAGAGAAAAGTGAGACCCTTTTCTGTTCTCAGGAATATCACAGGGGGTGGAAAGATACCAACTAACTCTAATGGGACGCTTATCAAGACAGGTTACAGAAAAGAGGCTGGGAGGTCGAGGGGCATTAAAAGAGGTGGTCAGTCTCCCTTGGGGCTTGGAGAAGACTTGAGCTTTTGACCCTGGAGTGGGCGTGGGGTTGGGAGGTGGTACCGTGTGCTATCTGCCTTGACTTCCACTGGACCAGCTGGCAGGAGACCCCCTTTCCCTACATGACAGCTGTTATGAGGCTCCCCTTCTGTCCAGCCTGGGGACAGAAGGCCTGATACAGCCCATGACGGGGCAGAGGGAGGGAAGGGCGGCCAAGGTCCCTGCATCTGCTTCCTTCCTCTAGGTGAGGAGATCAGCGTGGTCCCCAATCGGTATCTGGATGCCAAGCTCTCTCCAGTCATCCTGGGCGTCCAGGGTGGGAGCCAGTGCCTGTCGTGTGGGACGGGGCAGGAACCGACCCTGAAACTAGAGGTGGGTCCTGTCGGGGGAGCCTCACCACGTGGCTTCACTAAGTCAAAGATGCTGATGCCACGGCTTCCTGGGCTCCTCTCCCTCCAGGGTTCTGTTAATTATGGCTACGCCTCCCTGTGCCTTGGGGCCGGCCCCTACCCCTCAGCCACCTGCTGTGCCCTTTGCTTGCAGCCAGTGAACATCATGGAGCTCTACCACAGTGCCGAGGAGTCCAAGAGATTCACCTTCTACCGGCGGGACACGGGGCTCACCTCTAGCTTCGAGCTGGCTGCCTACCCGGGCTGGTTTCTCTGCACCATGCCCGAAGTGGACCAGCCTCTCCGGGTCACTCAGCTCCCGAAGGACACCAGCTGGGACGGCCCCATCACCGACTTCTACTTCCAGCAGTGTGACTAGGGCGACATGACCCCAGGGCTCCCGGGGCGGGCCAGCTTGGGCAGGGCCAGGAGGTGTAGGAGGAGACCCGTGGTGATGAACCCACCTCTGCTCTCAGGGCCTCCACCGTGGAGGGGCTGGGCACACGGCCACTCTTCCTCCACCTGTTTCCCAGTTTGGGTAAATCCTTCTGAGAGTTGGGGCTTAGTCCACAGTTTTCTTTTCTGCTGAGTGGCACTACTGATGTGAAACCTTGCAGAAAGGTAAACCCCTAAAATAAACCCCTAAGGGGTCAGGGGCAGGGGCAGGGGAGCGGTGGGAATCCTTCATGCTTTGTGGTAACGTACAGGTAACGATCCTGTGCTTTGACCTGGATTGGTCACAGTCTTCTGAGATTCCAAGAGGTGGGATCCAGCCTCCAAGGGGTCTCCTGGGCTAGTGGAATACTGTTCCCCACAATTCATGTCCCTCTGGGAACCTCAGACTGTGATCTTTGTCAACTGAAAAAAAATGTACAACCTTAAGTTGAGAGTTATGTTTTATTTGCTGGGCATTCTGAGGGCTTCAAGCCTGGAAGACAGCCTCTCAGATAACTCTAAGGGACTACTCCAAAGAGGCAAGGGGGAAGCCAGGATATATAGGAGTTTTTGCAACAAAGACCAGGTATTCGGAACATCAAAAGATTATTGTTAATTTAAGAAAATCAGATATCTTTTTTTTTTTTTTGCGGTACGCGGGCCTCTCACTGTTGTGGCCTCTCCCGTTGCGGAGCACAGGCTCCGGACGCGCAGGCTCAGCGGCCATGGCTCACAGGCCCAGCCGCTCCGCGGCATGTGGGATCTTCCCGGACCGGGGCACGAACCCGCGTCCCCTGCATCGGCAGGCGGCCTCTCAACCACTGCGCCACCAGGGAAGCCCCAGACATCTTAAGTTAAGGAATTCAGTGCTTTTCTATGTATGGGAAGATGCAAGATTCTGGGCTCACTGGAATCTTTCCTTTGATATGCACCTCAGCTATCTGGGGCCAGTATCCTGTGTTTTGTCATCCAGGGTTTCCTCAGGATGCACTGTTGGGGGTGGCTGCAGCTATGGGCATTCTGTTTCCATCCTGAGTTCCCTCAGACCTCACCGTTGGGGGAAGCTGTAATGTGATGGCTTGATGGCTACCACATCCTTTGTTTACTGAAATGGCAGGCAATATTTTTCATTCACACCTTGTTTGGAGGTAGGGTCTTTGTAGATGCAATTAGTTAAGAGGTCATGCTGTATGAGGGTGAACCCTAAATCCAGCAGGACTTCTGTCCTTGTAAGAAGAAAGAAACCCAGAGAAGGAGGCCATGAGAAGATGGAGGCTAAGGAGAGTGCCACCAGGCAAGGTGTGCCAATGATTGGGGCACCATCAGAAGTGAGGAGGCAGGTTCTTCCACAGAGCCTTCGGAGGGAGTACGGGAGCCTTCCAATCTCCTGAACTGTGCGAGAATAAATTTCTGTTGTTTTAAGCCACCAAGTTTGTGGTAATTGGCTAGGGCAGCCCCAAGGAATGAAGACAGCAGCCAATGATCCCCATCTCTTGGTATTCACACCCCCTGTGTGCCCCCACCCACACTGGACCGGAGTTGTCTCCATGACCAATAGAATGCCGCAGAAGTGATGTTATGCCGCTTCTGAGATTAGGTAATAAAAGACACTGTGGCTTCTATCTTGGTCTCTGTTTCTTTATTCACTTGCTCTGGGGGAAGCCAGGTACCATGTGTGAGCTGCCCTATAAGGAGACCCATTGGTGAAAAATGAAGCCTCTTGACAACTGCCACACCAATGAGCTTAGAGGTAGCTCCTCCAGCCCAGTCAAGCCTTCGGGCGATGCAGCCCTGGCTGACTGCAACCTAGTGAGAGACTCTGAAGAGAATCACCCAGCTAAACTCCTCTAGAGTCCCAGCCCTCAGAAACTTTGAGAAAGTTAAGTGTTCCTGCATTAAGTTGTCAAAGCTTGGGGTCGCTCGTTACACAGCAATAGATAACTGCTATGCAGGGGAAGAGAAACAAATTAGTTATTTTATTACGATTGCAATTTTCTCCATTACTTTTATTTTCCCTCTCAAAATGAGCACCAACCCTTTTATTTCCCCAAACATCTGATTTAAAAGTGGATCATACCAAATTGGTTGCATATTCTCTGTTCCCACAAGGTTTAGATCTTCCTTGACTGCCTTTGCACCTTCAGACATACGTGCCAGGGACTGCAGCTTCAGGGTCCCTGCCTAAAGTCTGGGGAACGAGAGCAGAAGCCAGAGGAGGGGCTCAAGTCGGAGCCCCAGGAGTTCCATCTGCGCCTCGCCTGTCAGACCAGCCTGGCAGGTTCACCTTCTGCTGAAAGACCAGCAAGGGAGAGGCCAGGCCATAGCGTCTGCCTCTGGGGACTGCAGCGGCTCCAGCCCAGATGCAGCTCAAGTCCCTGGGCAGCAGGCAGCACGGCTGCTACCACAGGCCTCTCAGGGCTGCCGAGAACAGACCTAGTTCACGCTCTCCTTCTGCCCACAGGCCCAGCCGCAGTCTCATATTGTCACCTCCTCTGAGGAGCCTTTGCTGAGTGGAGGTCCCTGGTCATCTGCTCTGACAGGGCTTTGCGCTGAACTCTATGCTAACTCCCCCTCCTTGTAATAAACTGACTTGGGGTCTGAGGCCCCTAAAATCACCTCAAGGTCAAGGCTGTATCAGTTTTGTTTCCAAGCACCTCGAGTAATGTTTGGCAAATAATCGGGATCCAGTGAGTGTTGAATGTGGAAACTCTTCCTCCACCTTGGAATACTCTTTCTCTCTCCTCCGCCCACCTGGCAGGGAGCGGCTGAAATTTCACCTCATTCTTGAAGCTTTCTGCAGCCTGAAGGGATTGCTTCATCATTTGTAGGATTAAAGAATTCAAAAGGGCTTTAGCAGGGACGAGCTGACACAAGTAGATGAAAAGGGAGGAACAGGGACCTCCCTGGCGGTCCAGCGGATAAGACTCTGAGTTCCCAATGCAGGATATTTTTTGGTTGCGGCATGCGGGATCTAGTTCCCTGACCAGGGATCAAGGTCAGGGAACTAGATCCCGTATGCCGCAACCAAAAAAGATCCTGCGTGCCACAAAGAAGATCCTGCGTGCTGAAACTAAGACCCAGCACAGCCAAAATAAATAAATAAATATCTCTTAAAAAAATGAGGAACAATGTAAAGGGCTAAGGCCCTTTCAATTCTAGGAATTTATCTTTTTACTCGAGAAGTTTCTCGGTTTCTATTGTCTCCAATATTCCCTTGGCCCACAGATTAGAGAGTCTGGTCTTTTCAAGTGTTTATGGCTTAGCCCCCAGCCAGACTGTAAAGCTACTTAACAACAGGGACCAGGTGTTGTAAACCTTTGTCACAGGGCATTGTCAATGCTCAGTAAGCACTCATTGATTGCCTATATAATACCCTGTACTTTGACCTCTTCCACTGAGGGGACAAGAGATTGGGAAAGGGAGTGAAGAATGACTGCTGGCCTTAGAAAACAGAAATCTGTTCCCGTCTCTGCCCATCTTTTCTCATCCGTCACTCTGCAGACATATGGGTATAGGACTGACCTCTCCCACATCCTTGCCAAGCCCTTTATGGAACGTTGCAAATGACCTGTGAGGAAGAATTACCATAAGGCAGTTGGTCTATGTTGGGCACTATGCCCAAGTGTCTCTGCCCCTTGTGAGTAGGTGGATGAATGGATGGATGGATGAATGGATGGATGGATAGAAGGATGGATGTGTGGGTGGGTAGATGTACTGACGGATGGATGGATGGATGGATTAATGGACTGATGGAGGGATGGATGGATGGATGGATGGTTGGATGGATGGGTCAATGGACTGATGGGTGGATGGATGGACTGAATTAAGTAATATCAATCAGAGGCCTGAGTGTTTTTCACCCCTAACCCTGATCACACTGAGCCAGCTGCTCTCATAGTCCAGGGCAAAGGGCACCTGCTCAGTTCCAGGGTGAATCTAAGGTCAACGTCTTCTGTCTGTAGTGGGTTTCCTTAGACATTACATCTCATCAACTGGTACCAACTAATAGAACCTGTTGAAAAACAGAGACGTTCCTCTCATAATTCCAAACAGGGTCATACTCACAATGCCATCAGTCCCTGTTCTCACATTGCCTCACTGGCCACAGCCTGGCTACAGAAAAAAGTCTGTCCTTAGGCCCTTCAGAAACACTCGCTCTTGCTTCTTCCACCTCCCTATGGCTAGGATGGAGCCCCATGGGGCACCAAAGGGAAGGTGATATAAAGTCGTCTGACCCCAGCATCATTTATCTGGCTGCCAAAACCACCAAGAACAATAGCTGTGGGCAGAGTCTCAGTGTCTGGCTTTTGCCAAGGCTTTATGGGTGTCTCTCTCCCCTTTCAACAAACACTCATTATTGTTCCCCACCTCCTTATTATCCATACTGTGCTGAAGACATTGTGAAATCCCTAGGCCCTTCTTCCCCATCCTGCAGACAATTATAAAGATTGCTACAGGCTCACCCACCCTGACCAGGCAATATAAACTCAGTGCACATGCCCTGGAGAAATCAGTTGGAGGTTCCAGGCACCTGGGATCTGCAGGTCAGTGGTGGACAGGCAGTATTCTATCTTTCTCTGTTTTCTTCTCCCTCTGTCAATAGCTCTGATATGCCACCTCTTTTTAACTCCTCTTGGCAAGCTCTCTGGTTAGCAAGGTATCCCCTACATAGATCACCATGGGATGCTAAATAAGTCTAGGGTCACATAGAAGGAATTTGGGGAGAAGGTATAGGTTAAGTCAAGATTTTTAAATATTTAGGACCACCGGTTTTAGAAAGTAATTTCAAAAGAACTCATCTAGGCCAGTGGTATTCAACAATGTTTTATGAAGCTTGAGGTTCCTTAGGGATGCCCCAGTGCCTTTTTGGGGTTTTTTTTTGCAGTGTACATTATTTTAATTTTATTTTTTAAAAGTTCAAAAAAAATTTTTAAAGTAATTTTTATTGGAATATAGTTGATTTACGTTGTGTTAGTTTCTGCTGTACGGCAAAGTGAGTCATACATCTTTTTTAGATGTATACATCCACTCTTTTTTAGATTCTGTTCCCGTATAGGTCATTACAGAGTATTGAGTAGGGGTCCCTGTGCTCTACAGCAGGTCCTTATTGATTATCTACTTTATATATAGTAGAGTGTTCAGATACCAAGGGCGAATGGGGGGAGGGATAAATTGGGAGATCGGGATTGGCGTGCACACCCGGTGCCTGCTTCAGTAGTCAAAGCTAGCTGGGTCCTGGTGCCATCATTGTTCCAGGTGTCTTTTATCCATTTAACTTTCATCAGTGTCTGTGTAACATTTCCTTGTGAAACCTAAAATCGTTTTGAAAAATATTGACCTTGCCCAACCCCTCATTCCAATGATAAGAATTTGGAGGCCTAGGGAATAAAGGAATTTTCCAAGGTGACAAAATAAATTGGTAGCAGAGGTAGGTCCGGAACCAACCTTGCCATCCGAATCTGCGGTGAGTGTTCCTATGTCCTGCTCATGAGCACCAGTGTGTCTCAGTTGGGGCAGATGGAGAGAGCTACAAGCTATGCTCTGTGGCTTCAAGAGCTTGTTAACTTTTTATAAGGGAAAAAGTGTCTATACATACAACAATAAATAACACACTGAAATTGAATGGGACTTCAGAGTAAGTTTGCAATGGTAAAGTAAAGAGTCTTTAAACTCTGAGTCATGGAATCATTGATTGTTTGATCTTGAAAGAATCTTAATAACCACATCCTCTAACTCCATGATTTTATAGATGCTGAAAACTGAAGATTGGAGGGTAAGTGACATGAACTTGTATGTCTGAGCTATTTCTCTGAGCTGATAATTAACTTGGCAGAACTAGATACTCAACCTATAGATAATAATGCCATGTCCAGTGACCTTAATGTCAAAGATTTGAATGGACAATGATGAGGTAGGGAAATGAAAGATACCTTTCACTGTCGTGGCCTCTCCCGTTGCGGAGCACAGGCTCCGGATGCTCAGGCTCAGCGGCCACGACTCACAGGCCCAGCCGCTCCGCGGCATGTGGGATCTTCCCGGACCGGGGCACGAACCCGTGTCCCCTGCATCGGCAGGCGGACTCTCAACCACTGCGCCACCAGGGAAGCCCGAAAGATAACTTTGAGTATGCCTACCGAGAAGATAAGAAAGAAGTCTCATTGCCTGGGAAGTGGTTTAGTGTCCACGGAGAAGTGAGATACACTTAGGATAAGTATATCATACAATGGGAAGCCAATGTAGATTCTAGAGCTGGACGGGGGTGTGATGAAAGCAGCACTTAGAATACAAGTCCAGAAACCTCACATAGGTTGGGCTGGATTGAAGGCAGAGAAACCAGGAATACAGGTGCAGTTTCAATGGTTATGAAGAAAACAAAGTTATATTTAAAGAAGTTATTTATTGGGACTTGATAAATCTGACATAGGGTCAGGAAAAGTGGGAGAAATTGTCAACAGTTCTCAGGATTTGAATCTACCTGTCTAGAGGAAGATTATGGCAGTGAGAGAAATGAAACGAGGAGGGATGAATGAGCTGGGAGGAGAAGGTGAATTTGACCTTAGATGAATTTGGTTGGGTATGATGGCAGGATATCCAAAGGGTGGTGTCCTGTAGGCTGTTGGAGATAAAGGAGGATGTTCAGTCTGGACTTGGAAGGCATTAGAGAAAGATGATCTTGCAGCTGAGGAAATGGATGGATTGCAGCTTCATGTGATATGAAAGAGAAGAGCTTAGGACCTTGGCCGGTGACTTCCAGGTTTAGGGGTGACCCCCAAACAAAGGGAGAATCTACAATGCATCTGAGAAAGAGAGAATGGAGAGGTGTGAATCAATATCAAGGGGTCCCAGGGGGACAATGGCCAAAGATCAGAGGAATCAAAAAAGAAAACAATCTTTGGATTTGGCTCCACAGAAGTTAATATCTGTCTTGGAGAGAACAGATTCCATGGAGATAGTGTGTAGGAGGATGAAGGAGAGGCTGGAACAGGTGTGATGTGCAAAAGAGCATGGGGAAGCCCAGGGCTATTTGGTGGTGGTATTTGATCCAGGATAGGTGAATTGATGAGGTCTGAGACAGCCAAGGATGGGGTCCAGAGAGGGGTATAGACCAAAGTCCAGTGAAAGGTCACTTGGGGACAATAGGGAAGGGAAAGCTTGGGGAATGGAGTTTGTGGTACACTGGGAGGGATCGTGGCAAACACTCAAAACCAGGAGCCCAGGCTCTCTGATGGACTAGAAGTCAGTTTCTCACTCCTACACAATCCTCACTTCATCGCAATCTATACCAGGACCCCAGGCAGGGGTTCCTGATATGGGAGTCTGTAGGAGAGACACTGGAATTTGGGGCTGGACCAGGACAAGAGGACCCCAGCGATCCAGCTGGACTTGATCAGTCCTGAATTTCTGCCAGCTCTTTGAGCTGACACGGACCAAGAGTGGGAGTCATCAGCTTGCCTATCCAGCTTTACACAGGGACCCTCCACTTTGTCTGCTCCAGCCAGCCCTTGGCACGGCTGCTAGGCTGGCCATATTTCTGCTGCTCCAACCAAAGAAGCTTGGCCAAGGGAGAGCACAGCATCTCACTCACATGGGCTTGCATGGACGCCATGCTGCTGTCGACCTATCAGGGCTGGGGGATCATCTGGTCTTTTGTTACTGAAAGTGTGGTCCAGGGACCAGCAGCATTAATGTCATTTGGTTGCATGTTTGAAACGCAGTCTTAGGTCCCACCCCAGACCTAGGGAATCAGAATCTGTATTTTAACAAGAGCTGCAGGTGATTTACACGTTTATTAGAGAGTGAGAAGAACTGAGCTAGTGTATAAGTTCCCAAGACCAGTTGATCACTGAGTCATTCAAGAACCTTCAGCCCAGGGAATAGTACTTCTCAAGAGTCCCCCAGGTGATTCGATGGGCAGGCACATTTTGGAAAGCCAATGACTGTAATCGAACGCTTCATTAAAAAAAAAATTAAAACTTACCATATACTACAAAGGAAATTTATTTTCATATAAGGAAAAATGTTGAAATGATAAAGTAAATAAATAAAAATCACCCATAATCTTGTCAGCCACAGATAAGTGCTGTAAAATGTCGAACATCTTTGTTTCTATGTATGTGGGCAGATTTAAATGGAATCATAATGCACACACTATTTATAACCTGTGCTTTTCACTTAATGTATTTTGACCATTTTTATATCATAAAATGTTTTTCTACATCATCTTTAATGTACACATGCTTTCTTATTTACCATAAATTTTTAACCAGTCACCTATTATTGTGCAGGTAGATTATTTTCAGCTTTATAAAAAATGATGCCGTGAACATCTTTATTATTAAACATTTGGGCAATTCCTTATTTTCCCATAGAATAAGGGCAACAGATGAAATTACAATGAAAGTACATCGAATGCTTTAAGACTCTGATTCACATCACCAACATTCATCCAGAATTTGTACTCCTGTGATCCTTTGCTCTCACCAACCCTTAAACTCTCACTGCAAAGCCAAGGATTAGGAAATGACTTGTCCAAGGTGATCAAGTGGCAGATCCAGTACTAAAAGCCATCTTGGCTAAGTCCTTCTTCTAAGATCCAGGCCATGTTGCTCAGGGATGCTGAGACGGCCGGAAGTCCTGCCATCAGCATCAATCTGCTTCTCCTTACCTGCTTCCCAAAATGTCCCTCAGTGTCACTCTCTCCTGCTCTGAGCCCTGCTTCCTCATTCCTACCTTTCTCCTATTTCCTCTTCTTTTCTGCTTTCTTATCCTTTCTCTTCTCTTTCCTTTCTTCCTTGTTGAGAGAATCAGCCCTAGCCATCCTTGCTTTTACTTTTCTGGGCTATTCTCCAAGTCCTACCACCCTCATGCCCTGATTGGCTCTGGGTTTCTTTCCATGCTGGATTCTGGAATGGCCTTTCTGAAGGTGGTCATTTCAGGGAAACGCTCTAGGGACGGATGATCCAACCGGAATGAGTGGAGCCATGTGAAGCTCTGTGGTTTAGGGTCTGTACAGGAACACTGGCTTCAGTTTTTAGATCATTCCTCCTCAAAAACGCAAGTCTGTGTATCTCAAGCCCGTGCTGTTTTCCATCTGGAACAGAACAGGGGAGTGTGCATGGTCTCTCACAGATCACAGTCTTGGCAAAGCGATCCAGTCCCCAGAACGACACTCTCTAACTGCAGAGAGACCCCGTCCTGGCTGCAGGCGGGAGGTTCCTCCTAGTAGCACTGCCCAGAGGAGGCAGGGGGAGGTGGTGACTCTAAGGCCAGGCTGGGAGTGGGACAGGACGTCAGTCAGGTTCTTCCTTAAACTGTGAGGCTAGAGCACACCCCACCCCAGTCTGAGCCCCAGGAAGGACTCCTGGCTGAACTCTTTGGGAAACCTGTCATCCTGTTTCCCAGAACCGGTGGCACCAGTGCACAGTCAAGCTCGACTCGGGTGGCCCCAAACGAGGGAGACTCAGAGCTGCCTGGAGCTTGCTGGGCTGAGGAGCCCTTGGTGGATTCTGGTAGGGCTCTTATAGATAAGCACCTAGTGAGAACTTTCCACCCTGTGATTGGGTAATTTGGCTCCTTGGGATGTCTGCTCCCTAGCTCCACCCCTTTCTTTCTCTGACAGCCCCCCTTTTTTTTAAATTACAGCCATTCTTCTTTTAAAAAAATTTCATTGAAATATAGTTGACTTACAATGTTGTGTTAGTTTCAGGCGTACAACAAAGTGATTCTTTTTTAGATTCTTTTCCGTTACAGGTTATTACAGAATATTGAGTATAGTTCCCTGTCCTATACAGTAGGTCCTTGTTGGTTATCCATCTGTTTTATATATATTAGTGTGTATATCTTAATCCCAAACTCCTAATTTATGCCCCTCCTTTCCCCTTTGGTAACCATAAGTTTGTTTTCCATGTTTGTGAGTCTATTTCTGTTTTGTAAATAAGTTCACTTTTAACATTTTTTAAATATTCCACATATAAGCGATATTATACGATATTTGTCTTTCTCCGTCTGGCTTATTTCACTTAGTATAATCTCTGGGTCCATCCATGTTGCTGCAAATGGCATTCTTTCATTATTTTTTATGGCCGAGTAATATTCCATCGTGTATATATGCCACATCTTCTTTATCCATTCATCCTCTGACAGCCCTTTTTTTTCCTTCCCTCTCAGCAAGGACCAGTCACCCCTGATTGCAGGAATGTGCTCCCTCCCCATGGCAATATACTACATGTACGTCTTCCTGGAGCCTTCCTTTTCCTAATCAGGGGGTCTGGAGATGACAGAGGAAGAGGAAAGAGGGCTGAATCAGTCTCCTTCTCACCCCAGAAGTCTCAAGTGCCCCATAATTAAGCTTAATCACCATCATAATCACAAAAGCTTTCTTTCCGGGACTTCCGCAAGATGCCAGCCATTCTACTGCCCTGCCGCCAGCCTGAGAAATCTACAAAGGGGGCATTACTAAGCCCATTTTATAGATTTGGAAACTGAGGCCCAAAGAGGTTATAAAGTACCTAATGTCACACAGCGCCAGGACTCAGACTCCAGGTTCTCTGTGCTGCTCCGGCCTCCATTCTCTAAAAGCTCAGTGATAATTTTGAATCTCAGTGACAGCATCTTTGTATGTTAGCCTCTGTGGCCTCTATTCCCAGTCTGGGCTTCCAACTCTTACCTGCATTTTATCTCACTGGACATTTGAGTCTTTACTTTTAGTTTACCGCTTTATTGTCTGTGATTTTTGTCGTAAATTATCTCAAGCTCTTCGAGGAATGAGTTAAGGCATGATAAAAATAAAATAAGATTGACACCTGGGATGCATTTCCTCAGCTCCTCCATGGGCCCATCCTATCCTAGACATGGGGGGCCGGTCAGGGCCTCTGGGAAGGTACAACGTAGCTGGGAAGACAAGACACAAGTGCATGGACCACGCAGATGACAAAACAGATGTCAACTCTCTGGGGTATCTAGCCTGGGTTCTGGTCTCTGAACAGAATATTGCTGGCAGCTAAGTTATCCACAGTTCTTGGTTGTCCAGGTTGGAGGGAGAAGGCCAGCTGGCAAACCCAGGCTCTTTTCAGATCTTCGTTTTTATTGTACAGGGGAACCTGCTTTAAACACATACAGTCATTGGCTAAGGGTATTATAATTAGCTGTTACTGAGAGAGAAGAATCTCCTGGAAGTATGGTGTTGGCCAGGAGGTTCTGCTCTTGAATATAAGGAGGGCTCCCCAGGCCTGAGAACAGCTGATGACCATGTCTGAAACCAACCAGCCATGGGCTAATAGCATGGGCGTGGCTTTGATGCTGCACAGACTCACCACGGTTCCTTCTCAGCCTCCCTGGCATGCGTTTACCCTCCCAGGCTGATCGTCAGAACCACAGGCAATCCCAGTGCCAGCTCCCTGCTGACCACCTGTGTTTGGCATCCATAGCCCAGCTCCGCCCAGCCCACCCCTTACACACTCACCGGAGCAGGGTGGCCAGGCTGGCATGCTTACCATCACATCGGACTCTTTTCCCCCCTCATTTGTGGATTTTCTTCTATAAAGAGCCTTTAAAATATCTGAAAAACAAACCACACGTTATTATATACTCAATTAATCCCTTTACTGAAGAGAATAAACGTATGAAAAATTGGGTGGGCCCAGAAAATCTGGGAGAAGGCTCACCATATCCCAGAGACATTGGAACCTCGTTAGGAAATTTCTCAGGGGAGGCACAGAAAAGGCCTGGAGCGTCAGGAAAACTCTCTACCCTTCAGTGGGAAGACGCAGGCTCCCGTCACCACCCTGAGGACCTGACAGCGGCCAAGCTTGTTAGAGACAGAGGTGCGGTCTCTGAAAATGTCACGAGCCCTGGGAGGACTTCCTTCGCCTAAGGCTGACCTGGTCTTTGTTTTGTTTTGTTTTTTTGCGGTACGCGGGCCTCTCACTGCTGTGGCCTCTCCCGTTGCGGAGCACAGGCTCCGGACGCGCAGGCTCAGCGGCCATGGCTCATGGGCCCAGCCGCTCCGCGGCATGTGGGATCTTCCCGGACCGGGGCACGAACCCGTGTCCCCTGCATCGGCAGGCGGACTCTCAACCACTGCACCACCAGGGAAGCCCCTGACCTGGTCTGGACATGCTCTTGGGTGGAGTAGCACCCCTACTTCTCACCTGAAGAAGGAGAAGAGGCCCTAGTTCTCCATGCTGTCCTTCAGAGTGTGGGGTGGGAGGGCCGTGGGGCTCAGGGGTGCCTGAAGGGGGCGGACCACCAGCACTGCCTCCTGTTTCAGAATTAAGGATGCAGATCAGAAGGCTCTGTGCACGAGAGACCGCCACCTCCTGGTGGGGGATCCCGCCACAGACAACTGCCGTGCAGGAGCCTCTGGGGCCTCGACGCCCTGGGACTCACCCAAGCTCCGTCTACCCCAAGCACTCCCTTTCCTACTGAAGGGTCAGGACCCCTGTAGGAGTCCCAGCTCACCCTGCAGCGTGCATGCAGGGGTGCGGCCAGCTGTGCCCTGGCCCAGCTCCTTCCTGTTCGAGCCTTAGCTTGTTGAAGAGCTTGTGATCTGGGGTCCCCTCATCTCCTGGCTCTCTTTTCTCCTCCCCCCGCCCCACCCCAGAGATGATCTTCATACTCCCCAACAGAGGCCTGGGCCACACCAGTTTCCCCGTCTTCCTGGGGATCCAGGGAGGCAGTCGTTGCCTGGCATGTGTGGAGACAGGGGAGGGGCCTTCCCTGCAGCTGGAGGTGAGAGACCGCACCCTGTTCTGGGGGCCCCTGCAGACCCGGCCTGGCCTCCAGGGTGCTCTGGCATCTCTGTGCTCATCTGTGGATTCTGGCCAGGTGCACACATCCCTCCTGTTGAGGTTTCCACCATCTTTCCCTGCACCCAGCACCCAGACCCTTGCCTCCAGAACCTTCAGAGGGCAATCCCCTGGGGAAAGAGCCACCCTCTCAGGTCCCTTGTTGGCCAAGCCCCAGAAGCCTCGAGGGCTGACACGCAATCAGCAATCTTATCCAACAGCCGCCTTCAGGCTGGAGGCTGCTTCCTGACCTGACTGGTTTCTCTGTGGCTCGGCTGAGCCCCAAGAGCCTGTACGACTCACCAAGGAGAGTGAGCCCTCAGCCTGCACTGAGCTCTACTTTGAACAGAGTCGGTAGAGAGGCAGGAAGCTGGGTTCTGGCCTGGCGCCCCCAAACCAAGCTCATTCTGCTCGGGGTCTGTGGGAGGCAGAATAATGACGCCCCCCAAAGATGTCCACATCCTGGTCGCAGAACCTGTGAATATGTTACCTTACACGGCAGAAGGGGCTTCACAAATGTGATTAAGGCTGCTCTATCCTGTAGTATCCCAGTGGGCCCCAGGTAATCAAACACCAGGGTCCTCCTATGAGGGAGGCGGGAGGCTGAGAGTCAGAGGGAGACTGGAAGATGCTATACCGCGTACTTTGAAGATGGAGGAAGGGGCTGTGAGCCAAGGAATGCAGGTGGTCCCTAGAAGCTGGAGAAGGGCAGGGAATGGGTTCTCCCGTAGAGCCTCCAGAAGAAGCACAGCCATGCCAACAACTTGACTTGAGCCCAGTGAAAACCATTTCAGACTTCTGACCTCCAGAACTGTAAAATAATAAATTTATGTTGTTCTAAGCCATTGCATTTGTGGTAGCTTGTTACAGCAGCTGTAGGAAACTGACACGGGGAGTGAGTGGGCCTCTGTGTGCACTATTCAATGCAAAGGGACTGGATAACTTGGTGAGTCCTTCTTGGAAGCCTGGCCATGGCTTCTCCTTTGGCCCCTCTGCTCTAGAGCTTCTAGAAACAACCGAGAAACTCCAGGCAGAACCCAGCTCTCCTCCTCTGTCCATGGACAATGTCTTGGGCTGCTTACAATTTCAGTTTTAGTTCAGGTCACGATTTTTCTGTCAGATACTTCTCAACGAATCAGTCATCCAGCCCACTGACCAGTGCCATTAGTTGCCTGCTAGTGTTGATGTGTGAGGACCAAGCAGGAGCAGGGATGGAAAGGCAGTGAGCTTGGACTGGACGTACTGTTTAAGTTTACTGTGGAACTGTTGAGTTGAGTTGACTGTTTACAGCTGGGAATATAGGGCTGGACCTCCACTGAGAGTTTGTAGTTAAAACTGACACGCATCCTCAGAGCCCCAAATCCCTCCCCATTTCGTAGAGGATCCATAGTCAAACAAGCTAGAGCAGAGAGCCCGTGGTATCCGGGCTCAGAGGGCTGGACTGCTGGTTCTCTTCCTCTTGTGCAACCACTCAGCCTCTGTCCAACACGTACTGTGGGCCAGGACATTTAAGAACAGTGTATCTTCACCCTCACAGCGACCCTGCAAGGCAAGTATTCTTACCTGCATCTGACAGGTAAAGAGACTAGACTAAAAGAAGTGACATACTTAACTCACTGAAGGTCACATAGGCTGTACATGTACATCTGGTCCATTTGACGCCAACATCGTTCCACAAATTTTTATTCCACTCTTATTCTAGGAGCAACAAAACTTAGCTTCCTTGGAGCTGATAATTGAGTGGAAGAAACGCTAAACAAGCAAATTCACAAACAAGAAAACAAACAAGGGCAATTTACATGAGAGAGGGTGAGGGCGGTAGGTATCGAACGGTAACGTTAGAGAGGGTGGTCAGGGGAGGTGACCCTGACTTTTTGGAGGAGGCGACATTTGAGCTGAGGCTGAAGGGCAGGAGGCAGTGGGACTAGAAAGTGATGCAGGAGAGAAATAGCAAATGCACAGCCCTGAGACAGAAGGGGCTAATTGTGTCTGAATAACAGTGGAAGGCTGGGGGGCTGGACCCTGGAGAGGGTTAGGAGGTGGGCAAGAGAAACAGGTGCTGGATCATGGGGGGCGTCTTGAAGGCAAATAAAGGTTTCTATTTATTTTTAAGTGAAAATGGATGCAAGGGGAAGATTTTAAGCAGAGGAGAGGCATACTGAGCTTTATGGCTCTGATAAATTTAGATTCTTTCCCTGCCTCTCCATGGCCTTCATGTGCCCCATTATTTTATCACCTGGCGATGACATCCTAACTATGTATTTATGTGCCGGGGCTACCCTGTGCTTTTTGAGGGGGTGCAGTTCAATTTTGGGTCACCAGTGCCCAGGACAGCTGCTGGTACATTGAAGGTGATGAGTAAGTGCAAATTCTTGAACAAATTAATGGATGATCACTTGGTTCTCGTTAGACATTCAGGATACAGTGCGAGGACATCTATGGCAGCAAGGCAAACGGACGCCACTGTAGCATGGAGGTGCAGCTGGTGGAGAGGGCTGGACGGGTCTTCACAAAGGAAAGGGCATTGAATCTGGGCCTCAAAGCAAAAGTAGTTTCAGGGCAGAAAATGTGTGGATGGGCATTTCTAAGCAGAGGGAGCAACTAAGGGAGGTGTGATGGAGGAGAGCTCCCAGCACACTTGGGGCGTGATGAGTCATCCACGTGCAGGGACCTGAGGCTTGTGGCTGAGGAGTTGCCAAAAATTAAGATGGGAAGGTATGTGGGGCCTGACTGTAGATGCCTGGTGAAGGAGTGAAGGAGGAAGCCTGGAGGAATCATCCAAGTATTTCAAGGAGGACCCAGATTTTAAGCCTGGGCCCCTGAGGTCAGCACTGGACCAATCCACCTGCTTCTAGGGCTTCTGCTCATCTCAGCTTTCTCTTTGCCCTACCTCTCGCCCCACCTGCCTTCTGTTAGTCTCTGCCCTGGGATCAGCTTTGATGTTGTGGTTCCATGGTTGGCCTGACCCCTGCTTCATCTTTCCACATCAGCTTATCTACCTCCTTCACCGGTGGTAACTCAACTTGACCCCGCTTGGAGCAGGGCCAGGAGTGGGAGGAGACCCGGGTATGCCTGGGTGGGTGGCAGGCACATTTCACAAGAGAAGGGCCAGCAAAGATGAGTTGAACATGTTCTCTATTTAAGTAGAAACACATTTGGAGCTTTAATATATGTCAATTCTATATGAATGCTTCGGAGAGGAAGAGGATACAAGAGATTTAGAAGACACGGTCCCTACCCTTTAAAGACATATGGTGTGGGTGGGGACACCAGACATTATGAACAAAAGCCAACATCTATTGACTGCTTCCTATGGAATGACTAGTAAACACTCCAAACATTACTCAGGGAGCCTTGGGTTGAAATTCTGCAGGGCTCAGGTAGAAATAATGACGGGATGCTGCTATTATAATTATCATTAATAATAATAATGATATCAGCTTCTGATAGACACCCCTCCCAAGTCTTATCCCTGAAATTCTTCCTCCTTCCTTGTGACCATGCCAAAGGCTTCTTTCCACAACCAGCCCATCAGAGCTGTTATTATGTAAATTCCTGGGAGAGGCACACTTTAGGTCACGTCCACTATTTACATCTCAGAGTGAGCTGAACTGGCAGGTCCTGAGCCAGAAACCAGTAAACAAGTGAGTAGAACACAGTGTGGTAACCTCTCCTTCAGGCAGCACCAGGGAGCTAGACTACTGAGTGGTCCCATCCCAGGGGGTCAGGAAAGGATGTAGAGGAGGTGGTGTAGGCATGGGGGCCAGCCAGGTGAGGGGCAGGGGGAGGTGTGGGGCAGGCAAAGGAGACAACCATATACAGGCTTGAAGGAAGTCCTGAGTGTAGCTGTGTGTGTTAGTGTGGTTAGTGTGTGTGTGTACGCACGTGCACATATGTGTGTGCACATGTGTGTATGGTGTGCATGTATGCATGCATGAACCTGTGTCTGCATGTGTGTGTATGTGTGTTGACAAAAAGCTCCAGATATAGCTAGTGACTAATGCATAGAGGAACTTGTGTTTATTCTGAGAAGATCTGAAGCAACTTTATACAAAAGGGTGATGTGTTCAGGGTCTCCTGAAACCTGTGTGTCCTAAGTCACATGGATTGAAAATCTATCACACTTCCTTTGTGATCCAGATTTTCATCTTGTGATCCCAAGCCCACACTATAGCCCCTGTATTACTATAGTCTCCACAAACAAGTGCTAAAAACATCACACACAGGAAGCAACCTAAATGTCCATCAACAGAGGAATGGATAAAGAAGATGTGGTACATAGATACAGTGGACTATCACTCAGCCATAAAAAAGAAAAAAATAATGCCATTTGCAGCACCATGGATGGACCTAGAGATTGTCATAGTGAGTGAAGTGAGTCAGACACATGTCACATATTATATGATATCGCTTATGTGTGGAATCTTAAAAAATAAAGGGTACAAATGAACTTACTTACAAAGCAGAAGTAGAGTCACGGATGTAGAAAACAAACTTATGGTTACCAGGGGATAAGGGGGAGGGAGGGATAAATTGGGAGGTTGGGACTGACATACACACTACTATATATAAAATAGATAACTAACAAGAAACTGCTGTATAGCACAGGGAATGCTACTCAATACTCTGTAATGCCTATATGGGAAAAGAATCTAAAAAAAAAAAAAAAAGAGTGGATAAAGGCATATGTATAACTGATTCACTTTGCTGTACGCCTGAAACTAACACAGCGTTGTAAATCAACTATACTCCAATAAAAATTTTAAAAAACACAACAACAAACATCACACACAGAACTACACAGGCTACACAACACATGGAAGTTCTGGGGAAGTCTAAACCCAGATTCAGGGAGGGAAATAGTAAAAGTAAAGAAGAACACTCTAATGGAAACCAAAATTTCCTGGGTACCATTGGGCCCACTCACCTGTGTGCAATAAAATCAATTTATTGGCACCAGGTTGTGGTCAAGGAAAGTGCAGCATTTATTGCAGGGCACCAAGCAAGGAGTACAGGTGGCTATGCTCAGAAGGCCTGAACTCCCAATGGCTTTCAGGGAAAGGTTTTTAAAGACAGGGTGAGGGAGAGTGTTGCAGGGTACGTGATCAGCTCGTGGACATTCTTCCGACTGGTTGATGGTGAGGTAATTGGGAGTCAGCATCATTAACCTTTTGGTTCCAACCAGTCTGGGGTCTGCGTGATTGTGGACAGCAGACAGTTAACTTCTTCCACCTGGTGGGGGTTTCAGTATCTGCAAAACAGCTCAAAGGACATGACTCAGAATATTATCTATAGCCCTTGAGGAGAAACTAAATGTCCTTAACTTCATTTAATGGCTAAACTATTATTATTTTGTCT